TCTTCATAGCCTGATAGAATCTTTCTACATGAAATATACTCGGCCGCACACTTTCATAAAACTAACTTAAAGTATTCAAAATCAAAGTGAACATATAAGAGTCTCCGACTAAGTGGCTAGTGATTGTCGATGTGGAATTGATCCGTCCTCACAACACTCCACGATAATCATTAACGACCGCCCTATGAAACGGCTCAGCCTGCGCATCCTCGATATTGCAAGATGATGTGCTCAACCAATATTCTACGGCGTTCATGATAAGACAAATTCTCAGTCAAGCTTGCACGCGCGAAGGCGAATTGAATTTTAGTACTGGGATCTGCACAGTGGAGAAACTTTTATGAGAATCAGATGAAGTGATATGTGGTCTAAGTCCCACCTGACGTGAAAGCTTTGCACATCACTTCATATCAGTGGCATATTGCAAGATCATACCACCACTGAAAGCTGCTAGATAGAAAAAATTTTCGTTGATCATCTAACTAGCTTTGATCAGAACTCACTACTTTAGTGTTTTGCGGTCCAGCCTAACCGCATTGAGTCCTAGGTTTAAAAAGACGGCATCTGGCTAACATGATAACTGCCTGAAATAAGGCTTGAAATTATGCCTGATGAGGAGACTCCCATTTATCAGTTTATTTTTGAGCTTGGCATAAATCTGAAACGCTTCAAAAGTATAGCTCCTTGAAGTCTTACGTTTTTGAACAAGGAAGGTTACTTGCACTTCATAATCGTCCCCGCTATGTGTCTGTGTCCTACGCGCGTCAGTGAAGTGATTGGTTTAATTTTGAGCTTATCGGTTGGTGGTGAAAATGCTTGGCTGAGCAGAGTACGTATCAGTTTGATTCAGCCAGGCGCTGGAGGAGGTTAACATCTAACGGAAAGTTATAGAAATAGATGCGCGGAGCGAATTGCAAGATTTTCGTTATTTGATTAAGGTTTTCTTCGTTTGGAAAAAAATTTCGGAATTCTTGTATTACTTTGATAGAACAAGATTTTTTCTATTCGTTCAAATACATTTTGTTTAGTTACACGAGTCTTCTGTAGAGAAAATAGCTAGTTTACTACGTAATCGCACTGAATTTGGCATTCAATCAATTGTATTGTATTGTACAAAGGGGATCATCACAGGAGAAATCTTCAGTTTTGCTCTTTTCTAGTTTTATACAAAACCCAAAAGTATCATAGTGAATAAAAATTGGAGAAAATTTAGGATTTTATCAAAAATCATTATGCATGCTGTAATTGATATCTGTTCATCGAAAATTCTCACTATAACTAAGTTTATATCAATCACTCGTTTATTTCCAAATATTTAGAGTTGAGGCAAGCGAGAAAAGGTTGAGTACTCATGGATGGTGGAAGCATTTTCAGCGGTAAAGACAACCGTATTTGACAAAAGGCTTAGAACATCGGTATTATGTAGACTAATGGTCAGAAATATGTGTCGCCAGAGAATTATTCTCGGGTGCTTCTTCGCTATCCGCACTCATATTCAAACAAAGATTTTTTTATTCCTTTTTGAGGGTCTAATGATTATTCAACAGTCTGAATATCGAGAATCTGAAGGACGTGATCTGTTCTTAGAAAATACAAAGGCTTATATATCACACTATAAAGGTAAAGCAAAATTTTCTTTCACACTCGAGCAGCTTTCGCTGGACCGATGTATTCATTCAGACTTTCAACAACAGTTCCATAGCACAGACCGTATCGATCTCAATGATAAGTATGGATTTTTAAAAGAACGTTTTAATGCGCTGTTACAGCTAAAAGATTACTGAGTTTTGCACTCGGTCCCGTGTCGATCGTGCAGCGCAATTCACACGTGACGTGCAATGCAAGCCGAGTGTAAAACCCAGTATTCTTTCAACTGTGCCGAGTGTAAAATCCAGAATTCCTTCAATTGTATCGACGCACTAAGCGCTCTTACTAAACAGCCAAGCATTACCATGAATTCGTTAAGATCTGTGCCATGAATATGTATGAAAGTCTGAGAGAAAAAGCCGTGTCCAGCGAAAAATACTCAGACGTGCAACACAGTTTTATTCTCATTGATACAGCCCTCAAAGGCACTTTTTTCCAAAAGGCAAGCACTCCATTGAAATCCGAGAATTGATCTAACGATAGATTATTGGAAGGGGATGGCCTAATGCCAATGTTGCGATATCCATCTACATAATGGTGCAAGGTATGCGCGCCTTGATACAATGGAATATTAACTCCAGTGTTACAGCGCAACGAAAAGTTTTTTTGAAAAAACCAAAGATTATCAAATTATTCAAGATTTGTGCTATCGAATAATTGCTGAACTTTTCTAGGAAAAGTTTGCTCATCGAAAGATGCTTGAGTGTGAAATTACATTTTCTTTTCATCGTCCATCTTAATATGAAGGCCTTTGAAAAAGCTAAATACACCCTCCAAAATTTCGAGGTGTAGGCTATCGAATAACTACTAAAATATCTAGAAAGAATGAGAAATGGGTTTTTCTTGGACAGGGGTTCTTATAGGGAAAGCTCGTATTCTACGGAGTAGTATACGTGCGCTCTTCCTACACACCGCATCTAAATACTACAGTTATCCCACATAGACCTCTATCAGAGGTGTTTAGTTCTAGAAGATGTGTTTTCAAGTTACTCTCTCGCAAGACAGGCGATACAAGTACACGATAAAGTTGGAAATTTATTAATTTTTTTTGAGGCATGGTATTACCCCTGAAAAATGAAGAATTCAAGAGAAGTGGTCACTTTTTATATCAAAATACCTTCATGAAAGATTCGCTTGTGATATTTCCTTCTTTAAGTAACGATAAGGTACTTCTGACATTCAAAATTTATCTACAATTACCAATAAACACCCTATGACGTTCAAATGGAAGAATAACATTCCAGGCATGACATTTAATCTTCTTTTACACCTTACAGCATTCTATGATAGGCTTCTAAAAAAGCCAATTACATTATCAAAACCTTAGAGATTTGGTCTATCTAATGATTAGTAAAGCTCTCGTGAAGAGCTATATCAAAGCCTTGGCAGAGAAAATGAAGCAAACTGAGTGTGAGACACAATTTGATTTTCGCTGTTACAACGTAACAAAAAGGCTTTTTCGAAAGCGAGATATATCTTTGAAATCGCAGAGATTCAAGCTCTCGAGTGATTACTAAGCGTCTATGAGAAAAGTGCCGTCCAGCGAGAAAGACCTTGAAACAATCGTTTACCTCAGCTAGTAGACGTTGTCCCTTAGGGCTAATCCGTCTTCAAACTTTTTTTTAGTGTAAGGATTCCAACATGCCTAACATTTAAACGCTTTCGTGACCACCAGTTGTAATAGCCACACGTAGTGCAAATCGCAGCCCCGATGCGTGATTTTCGGAATTTGATTAGGGTTTTTTCATCATTTTGGAGAGAAATCTGGGATTTATAGTGATAGTTCGGTAGTTTGAGACTTCGTCTACACGTTCGTATGCTTTTAGTGCAAATATAACGTTCATGACTAAAAAGAAAGGCTCTCTCTCACTACGAGATCACAGTGGTGTTGGCATTCTGTCTATCGCAATAAGTTGTACAAATAATATAATAAAATAAATAGCCCAGTTTCGATATATTTTATTATAAACAACACTTTATAGTTATAATAGTGACTGGAAATTGGAAAACAATGAAGCGGATGAAAAATGCATGTAATGAGGTATTCTTACTATAACCATTTTTCTATAGACGGAACGTTCATTTCTAATAACTTATATAATTATGCACACGATGAAGATGGAAACTCATGGGTTGCAGAAGATTTCTGTGCAAGAAGGGTCAGTCGTATTCAGGAGAACTAGAAGAATAGCAGGCTACCTATTTTATCATTGTTTCAGCATCCAAGTTTTATTTATAGTCTGGGTGCAGAGATCTGTTCTCTCTTGACGGAAGCCTGATACTTCGACAATGCGTTGAATTGGCTGCTCTATCAAGTTCACAAAATACGATGAATTCACATTAGCTACAGGCTGTACTAGCCATTCCATCTCATAGGCTATGTAATTGTACCGCGCATGATTATGTCTATTTTCTAGGTTACTACGAGAAAATGGATCCGTATGTAAGAAGAATTTTGTGAAGCTGCTATTTATTGATGTTATCTTTTATGGAGTATATTGTAAAGCTGCTAGCTGTTGATATTGTGAGAGAAGTTATGTCTAAATGAATTTTTTGAATAAAAGGTCTTCTACACCAGTGAAACTTGAAATCTTACACACTGCCTCCAAAGACGTATTGCGAACTTTTGCCAGAAGTCTAGATCAAGAAAATCAATCAACTAACTGTAACATCGTTATCGTTTTGGTAGTTTAGCTGCCTACGAGTGTTCGCTTCTCTTCTTCATCTTACAATCGATGTGAGTTTATTACTCCGTTACAACTACAACTTGCTATGTTGTTTGCAAATATTCGCGAGCTTACGTTTCAGCGCCGTCATGTCAACACAAAACGACTGGGAAGGTTTTGAAGATGAAGAATTGGAAACCATGCTCCAAGACTTGGTTGTAAGCGCTGACGAGGACGCTGGCAACGAATCGGTATGCACAAAAACGTGCACACTCCACAAGGTTCAGATGATGACGATGAAGGAACTGCAGCCACCCACCGTCCTGCCCTTTGATGACCCAGCTGCAGGTGTCCAACACAGTATTGTTCCCGGATGCCGGCAACCAGCTGCTTTCTACCAACTGCTCATGACTGGTATTTGGAAGTTGATTAAAGGGCAGAAAAATATAGAAAATCACCGAAACGATAGTCGTTGATTTCGAAGGAGTCATACTAACATTGCGCCAATTATAAGAGGATAGCAAGATATTTTTAGTTTTCATTTCAAATACGGGAGTTTGAATCGATCCTTCAAATTATTACTCCGAAACATATCCAGTGATGCAGAGTGATGTGCGAAACATTTGCGTCAGGCGGGATTCGGACTCACATCTCATTTTAGCGTGGGAGGAGTGATGGGAAAAGTGAGCGTCAGTAGTGCAACTGGTTAGAGCACGCGCTCTTGGACAGAGTGAGATGTGGGTTCGAGGCCCGGCTGACACGAGAGTTCTGCACGTACTCTGCATCACTAGGTATATTTTTAACATCATAATACTGCAAAAAGAGGTTAAATAAAGGTTTCTACTTGATCGTTCAACTCCTGAAACAGGTGAATGAAGGCCAATTACACCGATATATAACGCAAAATAAACATATGATAAGTACATTTTACAACAATCCAACATGGAACTCGTTTGACATGAAATAACCAGTTTATTGGAAGTGTGCTCAGTTTTCAAACCCTCAGCTTTTTAGACAACGAAAAAGGCAATTATTCAGAAAAGGAGAAGACCACAAGTTATGTGAAAGTGTTGATATTCGAATCCCAAACAACAACTGATTGTTACTTCAGCCTGGTATTTTACGACAAATCGTTGATGAGGATTGTGGTATACGAATGTCTTGAGAAAAAATTGCGAAAATAAACCTAGTACAAAATATACCGAACGATGACAGCACATTGGTTGTGTGAGTGACAATCATGAACAATAGCAAATAGTATACACATACAAATAAAGCAAGCCCAGAAAAAGATTAGTACAAATGCTTCCCAAATCCCTTAGCAAAAAGCAAGTACGAGTTTTATTAGTAGGTATTGATTAGTATCGCAACAAAGTGTGAACGAGTATGACTGTTTCTGCAGCTTACGTAAAATAACTCGTATTCGAATTGGCTAGACAGGAATAAAGAAGGTGGACCAGAATGGTTGAATTAAGGTAACGAGGTCTCACAACTGACTAGCTGTCAGGATATAATGCAAATAGATTAACTCTTCTTTTTGTAGAAAGAGAATGACTCTGCATTTACTGCAGACTAGATTAAGTTCGATCATATTTGAAAGTCATCAATGGATTATTGGTGTTGGTTCGGTTAAGGGACGTACTGGGATCTGTGTTATTTTTTCCCTTTTCTATTGTGCAAACTCCTGTAAACATCATACGTGAGCGGATGCCATTTTTCAAGAAACTTGTGAGAAGCGTTGAGGGAAAGGTAGTGGAGGAATTTCTTATGTGTACAAAAATGTCAAAAGACTCACCCGTTTTCATACAAATCCAGTCCAGATACGAAGTAATATCGACAAATATGTTGATTCTATCTGAAAATTCAGAATCGCAATGCTGGAAAAAAGTAATACGATAACGTGTGCAAAGAATGCCATAGCAGCTGATAATATGTGGGTGAAAAACGGAATTGCGATTTATGCATTGTTGAAATGAATCGTTTGATTCTGAAATATATCGTAGAACAAATGGGGTTATGTTTTATATTAAATGCGCATTTCTCGTACCATGTTTTCATGTTAGTGGTGTATTTCTTACTGTTTATTTTACCTTTAATTTGGACTACGGAAAGAATGTTAGACGGGAGCGAATTTGAGCGATTTTCTTACCTGAGTTCAAAATGGGTCGCACAGCCAAAGGTAACTCTCAACATCAACAATGACTTTGTCCAGAAAGTGCTAATGAACTTGTAGTTTATTGATGGTTTGAACAATTTTGTAAAAAAGAGATCCTCGAAGGTAACGATTCTGAGCCATAGGAAGTTGGTAACGATCAATGGAGAGCAATATTGCAGCTTCCTCTCCAAGACTACATACGTGTTGCAAAAGAACTCAGCATCAACCTTTCACGATCGTTCGCCATTCGTTAAAAGTAAAGTAGTTGAAAACATTGCTGACCGACAAAAAACTGCAATTACTTTTGTATTTACTCAAAATCTTTTCGCACTGCGCCCTATTACATCCATCATGGGACGATGCTATCAAGAGTACTGCAACTCGACAAATGGAATGTGTAGACTGTGTTGACTACTTTGTGTTTATCTGCTGAGCTGCCTCACATAATACGGCACAGTATATAACACTGATAATTCATCCTATCCGGGAACCCGGGTAGAATGAAACGCGGGTTCGATTCTCGCCCGAGGCTGCGTTGTTGCTCACCACTCAATTCTCTTAGGTATATAGAAAACATCATAATAATGCGAAATGCATTAAAAATACCATCAATATCGAGCACTGATAATTCAATGAAAGAGGTGCATTCGCAGTTTATGTGATCTCTGCACGGAAGGTCTTCACAGAAATAACACAGTGGAGGACTCATTGAAACAGTGTATATTGGAAGCTGTTCATGCTTGATGAGGATTAAATCTGGGTTCGGTGATTCTTTTTCTGCATTAGGAACGTGGGCTTAAGACTGGTTGGGTTTTCAGATTTTTTGCATTTCGCAGATCAATGCATAATTTCGTTCAAATTCCTATTCATAGCTATGGTATGCGAAGAATAGATGGAGGTATAGCGGTTCATTCCCGATTCTCTCCACACTGCTTGAGACCTTTGGTAGAAACGTATAAAACGACGTTTCAGTAGTCATTCGATAGCTAAAATCAAGTGAAATCGAACTATATATTTTGATCCCCAAATGGCCTGTTCTTTACTGCAAGTAAAAAATATTTTGTTTACACCTTCAAGCATTTCTCACGGATGCTGCTCTTTCATAAGCAATTGATAATCGTAGCACATAGGAAAAGTTTCAGCAATTTCAACGATGTACTTGATCTTGATCAAAGACTTTTCAGAGTGTTGTAACGCGGTCAAAAGAAGATTTTTCAGAGTTACAGTATTCCCTTTGATAGTCTAAATTTTGGAAATTTTGATGGTATACTTCATTCCCAAAATTGCTTCCTTGAAGCGCTCTAACAGTAAAAAACAAAATATAGCTTTCATACTCAAGCATTTCCCACTGAAGTTAGTTCTCCGCTGGACTTCTAATAATTCTTCGATAGCTCAAATCCCGACAGTTTCGAAACTTTGTTTTTGAAAAGAACTTTTTATTGTACTAAAACCGCGTCCTTTTGATGAGCTATGATTCGATGCTATCGATAAAATTTGATAACTTCTTCCTTGCCTTGTGCGCAACAATAACCAAGGAACGAAGAACACGTGAGAAGGAGCGAGTCCAATCAGCTATAACGAAGAAAAAAATAACGACCATTTTGTATCATTTCGTTCAGCGACTGTCTCATTCCATTGCGCTGTGAACTAAAGTTAAGAAGAAGACATAGCTTTCAAGAGAATTCGGCTTTTTGCTGTTCAGCCAGAAAAAGCGCACCATTCTGATTTTCTAACGGATCCACTCATTTTGCATGTTCACCATGGATGTCAAAGTGAAGAATTTTTTCTGTCTTACCCTCCATTCCTTTCCCTATTTTATTTAGAAGTGAAAGAGCAATCAAAACTATACGGAATGAAGTTCACCGTGTAGAACGACTGCAAACTAAAATACTTGCAGGCATGTCGCTTTCTTTCGTATTAATTTCATATGTACAATTTAAATCGCTTACACATTGATTGCTGATGGCACTCCGGTGTTATTGAAACTGCTATTCCTTCGACAGTGTATCTTCCTTCATTCTGCTGAGTAATAGGACCACCACTGTCACCCTGTAATAGTGAACAAACGCACAATGGATATAAACTGGTAAATGTTCTTTCAAATGCAAAACATAGACATATTCTTAATGAACTAACGTGTCATGACTTACTTCACACATGGAGCGACCAAAAATATCAAAGGTGAAAAACGTGTTGTTGATCATTATAACTTTACCCGCGTCTCTAAGTAGATTTACCGATCGTAAGTCACTGAGTGACCAACCAGGCCGGCGCGGAAATTTCGCTAAAAATGGACGGTAATAATAGGAAGCGGAAAACTCTAACTAATTTTGGTAATGTTGTTATTGCTGCAAGTGCCAGCGTATAATATTATTGAAGCTATGGTTAGTGACCAAAAAGAATATTGCTCTGCTATGTGCGACATAATCTACAAATCAGCGTCTATAGATTCTATAGACTTGGAGTCTATAGATTCTAGATTATATGCACTTATATGTTTCTGCAGAATGGGTAATGGGTGGCGACAGAGTGTCTAGTAAAGCACACTTTCAATAAGCTAAGTGCTAAGCGGCAAAATCCCTAAGTCTCTCTTGCAATAAGTCAAGGAACACTATGTGGAGCGCTTCATCTCGAGTACCTCCAAAATTGCGTAAAAATCTGCTCGACCAGTATCAAACGACATTTATTAAAAGGACGAAATATCAACCCGTTTTGAACCGCATCGTATATATGTGCATACGGTTTGCCAAGCGACACACCAGAATTTCCTACGACGCATGCAGCAGAGGAAATGTGGAAGTTATCTGGCAAACTCAGATTTTAGCACTACTGAATGATAGAGTTCCACAAAAGTGACTTCTAAAAAGGTTTTTTCGTATGAAGAATAAAATCGATGCGCATAACGAGTGCCATAGTTGCAGCGATGAATATTGTTCATATCGGTGTATTATTGGATAATATGAGAAGTCATTACCCACAAAACGATGGAACAAAGCCTTTTCTGCATCTTCATAGAAGTGTCAACTGCTCATTACTACTAATATCAAAGTTTACGGATAATTCATTGTTTCAATAATGTTTTGGCAGTTTTTGGATCAAAAATAACATTATTGAAGTCTACTCTATCACATTTTTTTCACTGATAAGCAGAGCCTATTTGATGAGTATAAGTGGATTCATAGAGAGTTTATTACCTATAAGAGAATAGAACAAAGTCTCTTCTACAACTCCGTAGAAAACACCCAACTTTTAAAATCCGCTAAGATTAGAAACTTATTCGGTTGTCGGCGGAGTGGGATCGCAAGGCAACGTGCTGTAACGTTTCTACGAATGATTGTTTTGACATATTTCAACTCAAAATTGCATTATTCAAGTTCCTTCATTATATTCTTTCTTCGACTGATGCTTAGGAATCTTTATTAACGGCGAATTTGTAGATGTCATTAAAAAACTACAACACTGTCATTGTAACGCCCTGCACTCCCGCGCGATCTTGAAGCTCGCTGCACAGAAATTCGACGCGTTCCTAACGGGCTAAGCAGCAGTGGAAACACACACGAGGTCTCTGAAGACTTTTGGAACGATGAATGCGAGAAAACCAAAAGAA